TGATTTCAGGGCTTGCCATCCTAGACCCTCTGTAATTCCAAAGTTAGTCAATTCTGATTGCTCAGGGGAAGGTTGAGTTTGTTATATATTCGTTGGGACAGAAATAACAATTTCCCATCTGAGGACACAGTAGGTTGGCAGGCCCCTGGTCTCTGGGTAGGGAGCAGGTTTGCTCCAAGGAGCTTTGCCTGATCATTCAGGCCTCACATTCTGAGTGGAGGATGCGCCTGGAAAAAGCAGCGCTGTCTCAGCAATGGCCTCTGAGGCCTGTGTAAGGAGCCCCGCCCTGGGTGTTGGCTGTAAGTTGTGTAACGTCCCTACCAAACAGGTGCTGTGGTAATAAAAATGTCCCATGTGTTCTTTCTCCTGTGGAGAAGGGCATGTCTTGGAAATATAAGCTAGTGGTTAGGCCAGAGCCCTCATGCTAGAAAGTCTCAAAGGGACTGATAGAAAGGGAGAGAAATATACAAGTGCTGGTCAGCGCTTCCAGGCCACGTCAAGTTCCTGGAACTAGCAGGCAAGTGATGAAGTGAGAGGAGGTGTGTGTGTGTGTGTGTGTGTGTGTATGCATGTGCGCATGTCTGTGTGGCATGGTGTGTACATGTATGCATGCATATATGCTATCTGTATACGTATGTGTATGTATGGGTGTGTAGGTGTGTGTAGATGTGTGGGGTGTGTGCTTGCATGTACATATGTAATGTGTGAGATGCATGTATGGGGTATGTGTATATATAATATGTGCACAGAGTATGTGCATGTATGTATGTGTGTGAGGTGTGTATGTATGTGGGTTGTGTGTATGTGTGTATCTGTGTGGGACATGTGCATGCCTGTATATAGGTAGTGTGGGAGGGTCCATGTGTGTATGCATATATACATGGAGTACATGCATGTATGCATGTGGAGTATATGCATGTGTGTATGTGTGTGAGGTGCATGTGTGTATGTGGGTGGAGTGTATGTGTATGTACATGTGTGGGACGTATGTGTGTGACTGGAGTGTTTGTGTACATATGTGGGCTATGTGGGGTGTATGTATGTATGCATAGTCAAGGGGTCGTGAGGTGTGTGTATGCATGTGTGTGTGGTATATGTATGCAGTGTGGGGTAAGTTAGCAGGTATGAGTGTGTGTGGTGTGTATGCATTTATGTGTGGATGGTGTGTGGATGTATGTGTTTGAGGTGTGTATGTGTGGGTGGGGTGTATGTGCATGCACGTGTGTGGGATGTATGTATGTGGATGGGGTGTGTGTGTATGTTTGTGGGCTCTGTGTATGTATATGGTGGGGTGTGTGCATGTATGCATATGTGTGGGGTTGCGAGGCATGTATGCATGTATGTGCAGCATGTGAGTGCAGTGTGGAAGGAGTTAGCACGTGTGAGTTACATGTGGGTGGTGTGTGGCTGTATGTGTGTGAGGTGTGTGCGTATGTATGTATGTGTGGGGTTTGTATGTTTGTGTGTGTGTGGGTTGTGTGTGTGGGTTATATGTGTGGTATGTGCGGTACAGATGTAATGTGGGGGCTGTGCATGTGTGTATGTGTGTCTGGTGTGTGTATGTGTCCTGGGCTGACACAGAGCAGGGAGTGGCATCTGCTGGATGTCACTGAAGACACAGGAAGGAGTCTGGATTCTGGAGAAAGCGCATCAGCATTTTATGAGCAGAAGCATCTTGTCATTTTTCCAGATCCTTGAGGTGGGAAATGCTGGCAGGAAGACCCAGGAGAGGAGGACGGGGAAAGCTGGTGCTGTTCCCGGAATGACAGCCGGGAGCCAGGAGATGGCTTCTTCCCTCTGGACAAGAAAGACGTGGCGCATGCCAGACCTGGTCAGCATTTGGGTGTGGGTGAGAGGCCCGGGAGCCTGGGATTAGCCTCCGCTTGCACAGTGTGGACGCTGCAGAGCAGAATTGGGAAGATCCAGGGTGATGCTGGGAAGCAGGCGGGAGGTCAGTGTGGGATTTAGACACAGGGGTACAGGGTAAGGTGCTCTGAATCGGGACCTGAACAGTCCCTCTGGGAAGGAAGCGAGTGCTTAGGGCTCTTACAAGGCACCTGCAGCACATCCGTGGGAGAGTGAACCACCGAGACGCAGCACCCAGGGAACAGAGAAAACGGGCAGCTGCCCTGGCGTGAGCCTCCTCGTCTCCGCTGCCTGGCCAGACCTACCGTTAGATTCGGCCTCCTGGTTTGGGGGCCGCTAATCCAGACGCTCTGAGTGTTCTCTGTTACCCCTGGAAGGACACTTTGCAGTTGATGAAGAGTGAATCACCGCATGAGTGTTCTTGAAGTGGGTGCCCAGAGCTCACTCAGGGCTATTTTGAAGAGTGTGGAAGGAAGAGAGTGAAAGGGAAAGCCAGCAATTAACATGCCTGGGAAATGTATGTCAGAGCTCAGCCATACTGCAATCAATCACTCAAGTTGGCCTTTTTTTTTAAAAGCCAACCTGATAGGAAGTGGAAATGACACAAAGACCATGGTGAGAAGATCTCGGCTCACAGTCAGGCCCTGTTACCAGTTTGGTACAGGATGTTCAGCAAGTTGTTTAACCTCTCTGAACCATACAGTTTCTTCATTTGTACAATGGAGATACATATCTGCCTCTTGTGGTATTTTTTAAATTGTAATAAAACACACATAATAGAATTTACCATCCTAACCATTTTGAAGTGCACAATTCAGTAGTGTTAAGGACATTCTCAAAGTCATGCGACCATCACCCCCATCCATCCACAGAATTCTTTTTATCTTCCCAAGCTGAAACCCTGTACCCATTCAGCAACATCTCCGCATCTCTCTTCTGCCCCAGCCCCTGGCAACCACTTTCCGTCTCTAGAAATCTGACTCCTCCAGGAACCTCACCTAAGTGGAATCACACAGTATTGGCCCTGTTGTGACTGGCTTGTTTCACTTAGCGCTAAGTGAAGGTTCATCCATGTAGGGGCTGTGAGAGAACTTCTTTCCTTTTGAAAGTTAGATAATATGCGATTGTATGGATGATCCACCTTTTGTTTATCCACTCATTTGTCCTTGTACATTTGGGTTATTGTGAAAAATGCTGCTATGAGCATGAATGTGCAAATATCTCTTTGAGTCCCTGCTTTCAATTATTTTGCATACATACCCAGAAGTGGAATGTCTGGATCATGTGGCAATTCTGTTTTTAATTTTTAAAGGAACTGCCACACTGTTTTCCACAGAAGATGTGCCATTTACATTCCCACCAACAGTACACACAAGGGTTCCAATTTCTCTACATCCTTACCAACACTAATTTTTTTTTAAATAGTAGCTATTCTAATGGGTATGAGATAATATCTCACTGTGGCTTTGATTTCCATTTTCCTAATTATTAGTGATATCGATCATCTTTTTGTGTGCTTATTAACCATTTGTGTAACCTCTCTGGAGGAATGTCATTTCAAGTCCTTTGCTAGTTTTTTAGTTGGATTATTTTTCTGTTATTGTTGTATTTGTGGGAGTATTTTGTATAGTCTGGATATTAACCCCTTATCAGATAAATAATTTGCAAATATTTTCTCCTATTCCATGATTGTATTTTTACTCTGTTGATTGTGTTCTTTGATGTACAGAAGTTTTTAATTTTGATGGAGTTTCAATTTATCTATTTTTACTTTTGTTTCCTTTGGTTTTGGTGTCATAGCCAATAAATCATTGCCAAATCTCTCGAGGTATTTTTAAGATAAAATGAGACATGTGTGAAATTCCTTGTAAATTATGAAGTAGTATAAAAATATTAGCTGTTATGTAAGTTCTCAAGTACCTGACATGCAACCAAGCCCTATAGGGATGCTTCAAAAATTACAAAAATCTTGTTAGCCAAGATGATAGATTGAAAACACACATATAATTTCATTCCCTCCGTAAATCTGACTAAAGAGACAATAGAGAGATTAAAGAAAAAAGTTTACCTCCGTAAAGTATAATTTAAATTCAATCAAATGCACCCATTTTATAGACAAAGTTTGATGAGTTTTCATTCCATTACCAAGAAAATTCCCTGACGTCTCTTGACAGGCAATCCATTTACATCTCTGTTCCTAGGAAGCCACTAATCTGTGTTCTGTCACTATAGTTTTTCTTTCTTCAATAATTTCATATAAAAGGAATTGTACAGTATAAAGTCTTTTGGCTCTAATCTCTGCTCAGTATAATGTTTCGAGATTCACTTAAGTTGTTGCATATATTGACAGTTTCTTCTTTTTTAATGTTGAATAGTGTGTCATACTAGGGATAGATCACAATCTGTTTAATCTATTTACCCATTGCTGGACATTTACATTGTTTCCAATTTTTGGCTCTTATGAATAAGACTACTATAAGTGTTTATGTGCAAGTATTTATATGAATATAAGTTTTCATTCTCTTAAGTGGAATTGCTGGATCATATGGTAAGTGTATGTATAATTTTTAAAGAAACAGCACAATTCTTTCCCAAACAGTTTTCAGCAGCAGTTCCAATTGCTTCACATCATCACTGACACTTGGTAGGTCTAGTCTGTTTAATTTCAGCCATTTTAGTGGTTGTGTAGTGATAATCTTATTGTGGTTTTAATTATCATTTCTCTGATGATTGATGATGTTGAACATTTTTCATGTGCTTATTTACCACCTGTACATCCTCTTTTGTGAAATTGTTAAATTGGTTGTTTTGTCTTCTTCTTATTCTTTGTTCTGTTTTGAGAGAGAGTCTCACCGTGTTGCCCAGGCTGGAGTGCAGTGGCACAATCTTGGCTCACTGCAACCTCCACCTCCCCAGCTCAAGTGATTCTCCTGCCTTAGCTTCCTGAGTGACTGAGACTACAGGCATGTGCCACCACACCTGGCTAATTTTGTATTTTTAGCAGAGATGGGATTTCACCATGTTGGCCAGTCTGGCCTCGAACTCCTGACCACAAGTGATCTACCCACCTCAGCTTCCCAAAGTGCCGGTATTACAGGCTTGAGCCACTGCGCCTGGCCATCTTCTTCTTATTCTTTTTTTTTTTTTTTTTTTAACTTCTATCACAAAGGCTTTATTTAAAGGTCCATCTCAATTTACGTGTGGCAGCATAAAATAAAGGACCAGATCGTGACACACCATTTCCATCTCAAGTGGTCGAATCCAACATCCAAAACCCAGCGAGCAGCCAAACTCAGCGCAACCTCCGGGCCTCTCGCTCGGACTCCAACAGGGTCAGCACGTCGCCCTCGTGCACGGGACCTTTTACGTTGCGGATGATGGAGCGGCTCGTGTCGTCCATAAATTCCCCGCGCACCTGCGTGCACTGTCCCTGAGAACCGGTCCTGCCGAGGACTTTGGTGACCCTGGCCAACTTGATAGGCTGCACACGGCTCGTATCCATGATGGCGGCTCGGCAGCGGTCTGGCGGAGAGCCTTATTCTTATCCATACTTTTCATACTTTTTTCAGATATCTCTGTTGAAAATATGCTAACATTTTCTTCAAGGCTATGGTGTGCCTTTTTGTTTTCTATTCTTTATTGAGGCACAATCAATTTTGATATGTATTCACCCATGAAACCATCATAATCGTAGTAATGATTATATTCATCATCATAATTAAAGTAATGAACATATCTACCGCCCTCCTATGTTTTCTCAGGCCACTTTTTTAAGGCATCCTTCATCCTCTCTTTTGTGTTGATCCAAATTTTCATTGACATAATTTTTTTTCAGCTTGAAGAACTTTCTTTTACATTTGAACAGGCCCTTTTACATTTCTTGTAGTGGGTCTGTTGGCAAAGAAATAGTGCAGATTTTATCATCTGAAAAAGTTTTTACTTCACCTGCACTTTTACAAGTTTTTTTCTGAGAAGAGAATTCTATTTGACAATATTTTCTTTAATCACTCTAAAGATGTTTTCTCATTGTTGTCTGATTTGCATAATTTTTGACAAAAATGTCTGTAATCATTCTTACCTTTATTGCTTAGCACATAATATGTCTTTTTTTCTCTTGTTGGTTTTAGCATTTTCTTTTTATCTCAGGTTTTCAATCATTTGATTAGGTGTGTTTCTGTGTGGTGTTCTTTGTGTTTATCTTGCTTGAGTTTTCCTGCTCTTCTTGGATTTCTGGTTTTATAACTCATCAATTTGAAAAATTTTTTGGCATTTTTCCCCGTTCCTTCCTACTCCTCTCTGAATGAGACTTGAATTACTTGTATGTTGTACTAATTTTCCTGTGTCACTGATGCATTGTTCATTGCTTTCATTTTTTTTTCTTCTGCATGTTTCGTTGGGTGATTTTTCTATTGTTATTATTTCAAGTCCACTAATCATTTCTTCTACAGTATCTAGTCTTCCATTAATTTTGTCAGTGAATTTTTCATTTCAGATGCTCTAGTTTTCAACTCTAAAAATTCAATCTGGCTTTTACTTTTTAACATCCTCAATTTCTGTATTCAAAATGCTCATTTTTTAAACCTTCTTTTATGTCTCTCTACAAATACAAGGGGTATTTGTGTCACATTTCAAAACACTGGAGACAGAAGATCTTACACATTTCCATGAGGGGAGGAGACAATGTGGCCACTCAAAATACTGGAGATGTGACATCTCAGTGATAACAGCAGGAGCTACAAGACAGGAAAGCAATGCCTTCAGAATTTGGAGGAAAATCATTTTAACATATATTAGCCAAACTATCAACCAAGCATGGAGATTAAAATAAGTGTATTACATATACAAACAAATATATATTCCTTTATTGTTTGACTAAAGAAGAATAAGGAGAGTAGTACAGCTATGGATTTGAGCATTCTAGCATTGCACTTTTCTCAGAAACTACCAACAAGTTGATTGGTTGGGGCTTCCAATTCCATAGAGTTTGACTCTGTTCTATTGGCCTTCTCGGGGGAATGACTATTCCAGCGGGGTTCTCTTGTCTTGACCACGGAAATGAGCAAGGAGGACAGGAATCTGTGGCTGTGTGGCAGTCCAGAAGCGAGATGCTTTGGATTCTGGTAGCAGCCTGAAATCACAGCACAGAGCTGTCCACTCTGTTTAGGGCCGGCCCTCAAGTCTGCATGGCCCTGGGCATAGAATTGGAGGAAATGAGGCAGATTTACCAGTTGGCCACTACGCTGCAGCCTACCTGAAACCTCTCCTACCCTGTGCACCCTGCCACCCTGGAGAAAGAGATGCTTACATCCCTCTTTCTTAAAGCCTCTACTGTCAGAAGACACTATGCAGTTCTATAATTATTTGTTTACCTGTCTGTCTCCATCTTTTCTCCTACCCCAAAAAGTGAGGTTTTTGAGGCAATAGATTAGATTACATCTTGTCCTTCCCTGAATCCCCAACACCTTACATAGACCCTGGTAACGAGGGCTAGCAAAGAACAAACCATTCACTGGAAAAATGGATCATTTCATTTCTTCATTCAGCTCCATTATACACTATTCTGGGTACTGGGGATAGTGGTAGACAAACCAGTCAATGTTCTCAGACATATTCCAGTGGAAAGGTGACGCAACCCAAAATAAACAGCACAGGCACTAGGCAAATGCCCACATGTCCTGGGATATTCTGACTTCATGGAAGAGCAGAGCACTATGTTCTTGTTACTTGTTCTAGAAAGTTCAGCTACAAACAATGATTGTCACTGTTGTCTGTTACTGAGCTAGTTAAGAATCTTTCAACAAGGAACCTGTATGGGTATAGTCTAGTACAAAAAACATTTATTAGTACCTGCAAGCTAACTACTGAATATGCAAAGATGCATATGAATTGTTCCTTACCTTAAGGGACTTGCTTTCTGTTTCTAAGAAACAGACATAAAAGCACAATATTTTAATAAAATATGGAAAGTGCTGTCTATGTTAGCAATCAAGGTGCTGAGGGGCACAAGAGGACATTTGGAGACTTTCTTGGTCCAGCCTTACCAGGATCACAGGCAGGAAGGCTAGATGTCCAATATAGCCATGACTCATGTCCAATATAGCTGGATGTCCAATATAGCTATGTCCAATATAGCCATGACCCAGCACCATCTCAGTCTACCCAACAAGGACTGAAGCCCTGTGTATCCAGCAGTCTTGGTATTGGGCTGAGGCTGACAACAGAGACTGAGGAGCTATTGGGCAAATGTCAGGACTCTTGGCTCCCCTGCAAGCTTTTAGGGCCATCAGCAGTTCCAGAAATACTGAGAGGAACCTGGGCAAAACTGTGACGTGGTTTCAGTGTGTCTTCTGAAGAACTCACCCTCCTTTTGCTCTCTGCTTGGAGCTCTCCACCCACACCCAGCACCCTGCTCTCAGGCACTGCCACCCCACCACCCACCAAAGCAACCGATTTTACCAGCTTGTCCTATATCTGCCCACCTCTCTCCTTGTTCATGCAACACATGTACATAGGTCATCTTTAGGGAGATGGACCGTACAGGGTTCTGCTTGTGCAACTGATATGCTGTGCAAGCATGACTTGTGATATGATCCAAGCGTATTCATTTTAGTATGCCTCTGTCCCTTCCCAGTGAATTTAGTGAGGGAATTTTGTCCCTACCGCTGTCTAGATGGAGACTCCAGCAGGCCGCAGGACTGTGCTTGTCTCACATGGAAATAGAAAGTCTTAGTCATTTTTCATAGCAAAATTCAGTCTCTTTTCAAAAATTAGAATATCCTATTTAATACATTTTCATTCAACATTCAGATTTCTACTCATTCCGTTTACCACCCCCACCTTCCCTCCAGCCTGTGGGTGGAATGCCTGTCCTCAGGAGGAGGGGTGCGATGGCACCTCTTCTCATTCCTTCTGCATTTCTCCCTCCACTCCTGCTGCTGCTACTGACCCTTCTAGGGGAGGAGTCAGGAGGGCACACTTTTTACTTGGCTGGTGCCATTGTGAGACAGCCATGTGCTGCCTTGCTCTGGTGGGTGTTTAAAGTGGCTTCGTCTTTCTCGTGCATGTCTGTAGATTCCTCAGAGGCCTCCCTGCTGCCTTGGGCTGTGACCCCCATGGGCTCTTCCCTGGGCTGGCTGTTCGCAGGTCTCCCTCTGGTAGGTTTGCTAGCCATCCATCACACAGATTTTTTGCAACAAGGGCCACTCAATTCAGAAATACACTCTTGGAAAGGATTCCTGTTTTTAAAAATCCAGGCTGATATTTCCCTTGCAGGCTTCAAACCCAAGAAATCCCTGGCTTTCTTGTAGTACCCTTGTCTTTGTCCTATGGGGATGCAGTTACTGCCCAACTCAGTATCTCTCTCCTCTCTCTCTCTGTCTCTTTTTCTTTCCTATGTTCCCTTCAGGCTGATGGCTGAGGTCTCAAGAAGAGAGGCACTACTCACATCCTATATGATGAGAATGATGTCCCCTGGCCCTGTGCCATGCAGTCAACCTGCTCAGGTGTCTGTTGGGCCAGTCTAAGGTGTCTCTCTACTTCCTTGGGCAGATATTCAGGCTCCCTGAGGGCTGTTGAAGCTGCCTTTCTTTAGGAAGGATGACGACAAAGCAACGATTTCAATGTCCTCCCCTTGAAATGGGGATGTGGGACTCACAGAGATAGCAGCTTTCTCCGAAGAAATAACAAATCTTCCCCTTCTATGAGTTCTGTAACTTTTAAAAATATCTTCCTTGTGACTTTGTCATCTAACCTCTGATATCTACCATTTGAAAATATGCGACAAGCTCCTCATTTAAGGTTTTGTTTCTTGTATCTGTTCTCACTGGAATAGAATTATGATTCTATAGCTTGCCCTTTTCATTTGTCAACGTCATGTATATTTCTACAGGTGCATGGATACAGATCTAATTCTATTTTCTTGGTAGTTCCTTTTACACATATGCATATATAGATGTTTATGTAAATGGAAGAGCTGAGACTGGGGTGGGCAAACAAGGTGGCTAGGCGCAAAATTTAAAAAGCCACTCACTGTCAGGGTCATGCCCTGGTGAAGGGGACCTTATCATACTTTCTGTCTTTCAGGCAAACCCTCCCCCAAACCCCTGCTTCTTTAGGAGGCAGTGTATTGTAGTAGTGAAGAGCACAGGCTCTGGAATTAGCCTAGTTTGGAATCCTGACTCTACCACTCATTAACTGTGCAAACCCAGGCAACTTTGCTCTCTGTGCTCCTGTTATGGCATCTGGCAAAATGCGGTTAGTACTAGTATGTATCTTATATGTTTGCTATAAGAATTAAATCAGGCTGGGCACAGTGGCTCACGCCTGTAATCTCAGCACTTTGGGAGGCCGAGGTGGGCAGATCACCTGAGGTCAGGAGTCTGAGACCCACCTGACCAATATAGTGAAACCTCGTCTTTACTAAAAATACAAAAATTAGCTGGGCATGGTGGCAGGCACCTGTAATCCCAGCTACTCAGGAGGCTGAGGCAGAATTGCTTGAACCCGGTAGGTGGAGGTCGCAGTGAGCTGAGATCATGCCAT